CAAGGAACAAACAAGCAGCCCGCAGCTCTGACTACAAGCGGAGAGCAGGAGGCTCTGGGACGCAAAGCCCCATCAACCCGGGCTGCTTCGTTCTGCTCCTGTACACGCCCCAGTAAGCTGACAATAACAATACCCACAGCCACTACCGCGCCGAAGGGGAGGCCCCCGCACCACTGGGCAATGGGGCCAGATGAATCCCGCAGGAATGCAGATGGCCACGGATTAAGACTTACCGAGGAAGAGATGGCTGCCACCTCCGTAGGCAGCGCCGAGGAAGAGAGAAGGGACAGTGGCACGCAAGGGCTGATGGGACGTAACCCCCTGGGTCCTGGCAGGGAAAAGGCAAGCACTTCCGGTTCGGCTCTTTCAAATAAAATAAAGACACGTCAAAAAATAATGCCGCAAAAAATTCTGAGTATACATGTTTTAATAGACCGTAATATCTAGGCATATGACTGAAAAATATATTCTACCTATCCTTGGGTCTACGTAGAAATTTGGAATTCTTTCTGAGCTAATAAGACCTGGTGGAGAGAGGCACTTACTTCCGCCAGAAGTTGAAGCCAATCCGCTTTTGGGCTATTTCCGCCCGCGTTTCTTCTACTCCGAAGTGCGCCTCTTAGTGGTCAGAAGAGAACAAGACAGAGACTTCCTAATAATTTCCTCACCGAATTTAGACAGTAAATAGTAACGAAACTATGATAGCTAACATGCGATGGAGTTCACTATGCCTACCACAATTCTATAACGTACCCCTATTATGTCTCCATTTTGCATATGTGGAAGGTGAAATTTGGAGACTTGACTCCAAACTCCATGCCCTAACCATTATGCTAAATGGCCTAGTTTTTGTTTGTTCATTTTTTTGGAGATGAGGTCTCACTTTGTTGCCCAGACTGGTCTCGAACTCCTGGGCTCAAACGATCCTCTCGCCTCAGCCTCCTGAGTAGCTAGGATTACAGGCACGAGCTACTGCCTAGTTGTTTTTTGTTTGTTTGTTTTGTTTTGTTTTTTGTTTTTTTTAGACAGAGTCTCCCTCTGTCACCTAGGCTGTAATGCAAAGGCGCCATCTCACGGCTCACTGCAGCCACTGCCTCCCAGACTGCCTAGTTTTTAAAGTTACTCTTAATTCGTTTTGCTTAGCTTTTGCATTTAAGATTATTGTGAAAATTGGCAGAGCACTATGGTTCACACCTGTAATTCCAATACTTTGGGAGTCTGAGGCGGGAGATTTGCTTGAGCCCAGGAGTTCAAGACCAGCCTAGGCAACATAGTAAGACTCTGTGTCTACAAAAATAAAATAATTAGCTAGGGCTGGTGGCACATGCCTGTAGTCCCAGTTACTCGAGAGGCTGAGCTGGGACGATCACGTGAGCGCCCAGGAGTTCTAGACTACAGTGAGCTGTGATAATGCCACTGCACTCCAGCCTGGGTGACAGAGCAAGGCTCCGTCTCAACAACAACAACAAACCTATAAAGACAAATAACCCAATTGAAAAATGGGTAAAGAATCCAAATAGACATTTCTCTGGCCAATGAACACATGAAATGATGATCTACATCATTAGCCATCAGGGAAATACAAACTGGAATTGCAATGAGATACCATTTCACACTCACTAGGACGGAGAAATGGGAATCTCCGTACAGTGCTAGTGCAAATATGAAATGGTGCAGTCACTTTGGAAATGAATAGCAATTCCTCAAAATGTTAAACATAGAATTACTATATGCCCAGCAAGTCCACTTTCAGGTATATGCTCAGGAGAAATGAAAACATATGTCCACACAAAAACTTGTACATGAATAATCACAACAGCCTTATTCATAATAGCCAAAATGTAGAGACAAACCAAATGTCCATCAACTGACGAATGGATAAATAAAATATCATCTGTCATTCAATGGAATATTATTCAGCAATGAAAAACAAGGAAGTACCAGTACATGCTACAACATGGATGAACCAGACACAAAAGGCCACATATTGTATGTCTCCATTTATATGAGTTATCCAGAATAGGCAAATCCTTAGAGACAGAAAGTATGTTAGTCGTTGCCAGGGCTGAAGAGAAGGAGGAATTGGGATAGACTACTAATGGGGTTTACTTTGGGGTGATGGAAAAGTTCTAGAATTAGATGGTGACGATGATTGCACAATTCAGTGACTATACTGAAAGACATGTACACTATTTTTTTTTTTTAGACAGAGTTTCACTCTTGTCACCTAGGCTGCAGTGCAATGGTGTGATCTCGGCTCACTGCAACCTCCGCCTCCTGGGTTTAAGCGATTGTCCTGCCTTAGCCTCCCAAGTAGCTGGGATTACAGGTACCCACCACCACACCCAGCTAATTTTTGTATGTTTAGTAGAGACAGGGTTTCACCATGTTGGCCAGGTTGGTCTCGAACTCCTAACCTCCAGTGATCCACCTGCCTCGGCCTCCCAAAGTGCTGGGATTATAGGTGTGAGCCACTGCGCCTGGCAATCATACACTTTAAATGGGTGAATTGTACACTATGTGAACTACATCTCAAAAAAGTTGTTATAAAGAGTAATAGTATGGGCATAGTTGCAGAAAAAAGGACAATCTTTCAACTGAATAAAATCAGCTTTGTAAAAGACTTATTTATTTATTTATTTTGAGATGGAGTCTCGTTCTGTCACCCAGGCTGGAGTGCAGTGGCGCAATCTCGGCTCACTGCAAGCTCTGCCTCCCGGATTCACACCATTCTCCTGCCTCAGCCTCCCGAGCAGCTGGGACTACAGGTGCCCGCCACCTCGCCTGGCTAATTTTTTTGTATTTTTTAGTAGAGATGGGATTTCACTGTGTTAACCAGGGTGGTCTCAATCTCCTGACCTCGTGATCCGCCAGCCTCGGCCTCCCAAAGTGCTGAGATCACAGGCAAGAGCCACCGCACCCGGCCTGCAAAATACTTTTTAAAAAGAGATGGAAAAAAGAAGCTGAGGGGACCCATTGAGCCACAGCAATAACTATATGTGCAGAGGAGGGAGGCCTTTGGGAGCCAAACCATCCAGTCTCCATCTTGGCTGAGGAGCCCTGACACGCTCCTGCACTCCTGGAGCACTTGGGTGGGCCTAGGGGAGGTGCCACTGACTCTAGGAGCTGAGGATTGGGCTGTGTGGTTGGGGAGTAGGGAGATGGAGAGGCAGAGAGGCCCCTGTTCACCGTGGGATGACACAGGAGAAAAGACTGGTCAGCTCTCCGTCTTCCCAACTCCCTCCATTAAAGTTGGCGAGAAAAGCCCTTAATTGTATTGCAATGGTTATGGATTCGGAAATGGTTTTTCCCTTGGTGTGTGTTCTTTTTCCTCAGATTGGGAAGGATCGGGCACTGAACTTTGACCCCTGCTGCATCAGCTACTTTACTAAAGGGGAGTACATTTTGCTGGGGGGTTCAGACAAGCAAGTATCTCTTTTCACCAAGCATGGAGTGCGGCTTGGGACTGTTGGGGAGCAGAACTCCTGGGTGTGGACGTGTCAAGTGGAACCGGATTCCAACTATGTGGTAAGAAGAGGAAGTTTGTTCTGTGGGGCCATGGCTTGAAGAGGCACTGAGCAGCCGCCATGTCTCGAGAGACATATCACTGGGGTTTGTGTCTGACAAATGGGAGTGCAGACTCTCTCCAGAAAGCTGGGAATTGACAGTTCTGTCACCCTGCAGGTGGTCGGCTGCCAGGACGGCACCATTTCCTTCTACCAGCTTATTTTCAGCACAGTCCATGGGCTCTACAAGGACTGCTATGCCTACAGGGATAGCATGACTGACGTCATTGTGCAGCACCTGATTACTGAGCAGAAAGGTGAGAAGCAGGTCTAGACCTTGGGAAGAGGGACAGGTGGAAGCAGATGGAAAGGACTGGTGACAGGGCACTTGAAATGACAGGAAAGGTTTCTCCTTGGCCTTTTGAAAACATGTTAGCCACTGGGTCTATGTCTTGGAGTGTTTTTTTTTTTTTTTTGGTGGGGGAACTAGGGATGCCAATCTCCTTGAGGATTTCATGAAAGCAATAAACCCTCTCTGAAAAATGTACCAACTCAGAATTTTGCACATAATTTCAAGGAGTACATGAATTTCCTGAGTGAGGGAGGATGATTTATGACAGGTTGGAGCCAGGTGATTGACCTACATGGGTCTTTGTGGACCTTTATCCTTTCTTGTCAAAGTCACTCAGGGGTGCTTCTCCCTCAGCCCAGTCTCCACTTGCCTCCTGCTGGGTCCTTCTGCCAGAGATGAGCAGTGGAATTGGATTGGCACAGGCTTAGTCAGAAGATCAGGGTTCCAGGCCTAGCATAGTCATTCCAAGCCCTAAGACCTCAGTCT